TTAACAACGGAAATGTCGGGCTCCCCTGTGGTCATAAGTCGAGGACCCTCTGTGCAGGGTCTTCTGCTGCTGCTGCTCCAGGTATTGGCTGATTCTACGGGTGCAGGCCCTCCTCATCCCCCCACGTCCCCCCCGGAAGCACCTGGACCCACCAACCTGCTCCTTCTTCTTCCTCTTCCTCCTCCACGCTCTCCTCCCCCTCCTCCTCCGAACTCCCGGCCTCGCTGGGTTCCTCCTCCTGCTCTTCGTCTTGGCTCTCCCCGGGGGGACTTGGAAGCCTGGGGTCCCTGCCAGGAGGAGAAGAGAGCGTTTGGGGGGGGGGCACCTGCTGGCTTTGGGCGGGGAGAGGAAGCGGCAGAGCTCTGCAACTGCCCACCGCCCCCCTTGGGAAGGCAGCCCCGGCTGACCACCAGCGCTGCCGCTTCTGCCACCAGCGTGGCCACCCCCCAGGCTCCCTGCGGCTCACCTGCTCGGCCTCCCTGGCCCAGAAGCCTCCAGTCTCCCTTGCGTCCCTTCACTCCCACCCGCACTGCCCGGCTGGCCTTTCTTCTTCTCTGGGGACGGACAAAGAACGTGAGGAGACAGTCTGGCCCTCGTGTCAAATCAGAACGGGGCTTATTGGGTCACCGCAACGTGTGTGAAGCCTCTCCAAAATCTGGCTGCAAAATAGCCCCGGAAAGAAGGCGAAGAGCTGAGGAGCAGAACAGATTTCTGCCTCCACCCCCCCACCCCGATTCACACGAGACGGCCACTCACCAGCGGGGACGCCGCCTTCTGCCTGTGCAGCCTGGAACTTCTCCCGGGCCACAGCCCAATCCACAGCCACGGGGCGCTCTGCAGAGAGAGTAAGGGGAGCGCTGAGGCTGCCTGGGAGTGGGGCTAAGGCAGGGCAGAGGCTTCCATCGCCCGAGCCCGCCCCTTGCCTGCTTTCAAAAACCCGACAGGCCTCCCGGCCACCTTAAGGGCTGCCCTGCTTAGCTGCCAAGCCTCAGCCAGATGGCAGGTGCCGCTGCAGTGGCGAAAACAGACCTAGTGGAGACCCCTGCCCTCTTTCCCCACGTGGCCAGGGTTACCGCCGTCTCCCCTCTTTGCCCCCCTCCCTGCACCAGACAAAGCCCACTGAAAGTCCGCTTAGACCAAAAAGCCTCCTCGCTGCACGGCCCAAGGGAAATGGCAACCTAGACAAACCCCAGCTTTCCCTCCTCAATCGGGGATGTGCCCCCCCCCCCCAAATCTGGCCTAACCTTAGAACTTGCTCAAGGACAGGAGCCGCCCAGCTTCCCCAGGAATCCCCTCCCTGCAGCCCTCAGCTTCTGTTAAAACCCTGGCTTCCCCCTGGATTTGAGGCTCCTCCTTCCCACGAAGCACCATGGCCCCCGCTCAGTTTCCTTCTATTCAGAACCCCTCCCTGCTGCTGACCCGCGGCCTGCATGGAAGTGAAGACGGTGTGCGAAGGGAGAGGGGAAATTCTCCCCCCCCCCCCCCCGGGCGGCCCCCCCCGCGTCCACGGCCCCCCCCCCCCGGCCCCTCTCTGGGAGGCCCTCAGCACGAGGGACAGACTCCCACCCGAACCCTGAACCGCTGCAGGGACTCACCTTTGATCTCCTTCATGTTCATCCCCTTCAGGGCTTTTCCTGCTTCCAGGACATTCCGGAACTGCACGAAGGCAAAACCGCGCAGCTTTCCATCTGGAAGGCAAAGATCAGGGCCAGAAGCCCCCTCACACATCCACCCCTTCCCTGCATCCCAGGAACTGCAGCTTCCGCCCGGCAAAGGGATGGGGGCAAAGCAGCCCCTCACCCAGAGCAGGGAGTCTCCTGGGTTCACCCACTGGTGTCTAAACACAGACCTCTCATATATTTTGTTGCGATTTACCAGCCTAGGTGAAACGTTAACGTATTAAAGGTAGCCCACGTACCCTGAGCCATGAGGCCAAACAAAGGAGAGAGAGAAAGAGAGAGAGCCTTCACCGGGACAGGCAGGAGAGAGGCGCCATGAAGGAGGCGAGGGGAGCGCATGGCTCAGGCTCCTCTTGTCCCTCCAGAGCACCAGGACGGCCTCCCGCCGGCTTTCCCTGCCCACCTACCAGGCTTCCTGGGCAGGGAGGCTTCCAGGACTGTCCCGAAGGGAGCGAAGGCGCTCTTCAGGTCGTCTTCCGTGCACTGGGAAGG